GACCCCATGCATCCCCTCCAGCCCTGACCCCATGCATCCCCTCCAGCCCTGACCCCATCCCCCTCCAGCCCTGACCCCATGCATCCCCTCCAGCCTGACCCCATGCATCCCCTCCAGCCTGACTCCATGCATCCCCTCCAGCCTGACCCCATGCATCCCCTCCAGCCTGACCCCATGCATCCCCTCCAGCCCTGACCCCATGCATGCCCCTCCAGCTCCGACCCCATCCCCCTCCAGCCCTGACCCCATGCATCCCCTCCAGCCTGACTCCATGCATGCCCCTCCAGCCCTGACCCCATGCATCCCCTCCAGCCCTGACCCCATGCATCCCCCTCCAGCCCTGACCCCATGCATGCCCTCCAGCCCTGACCCCATGCATGCCCCTCCAGCCCTGACTCCATCTCCACTTCTTCCAGCCAAGGCACCAGCACCTGCCAAAATCTCACCTTTGTTTTGGTCCAAAAACTCTTCAGTGAAGATGGGAACATCGAATGTGGAAAAGCCATCACAGTCCACACCCTGGGACATGGCAATGAGTTTGGTGGGGACCCACGTCTCTGGAACCGGGGGGGGGGGGGTCTGGGCCACTCTCGGGCAGTGCAGCCTTTCATTTGTTTTTATTTGGGGGTCTGTCTGTCTGTCTGTGTGCCATATGCATGCAGTACCCACAGAGGCCAGAAGAGGGCGGCAGATTCCCCCAGAGCTGGAATTACAGGGGGCTGTGTCTATGTGGGTGCTCAGAATCGAACCCCAGTCCTCTGCAGGGGTAGCCAGTGCTCTGAACCCTGAGCCACACTGGGCTGAAGCCAGGGCTTTCTACAGACCAGACGAGCACTCTGTGCACAGATTTATTCCTGTGATTTGCTTTTCTTCCCTTCATGTTTACGGTTCTTTTTTCTTTTTCTTTCTTTTTTCTTTTTTTCTTTTTTTTTTTTTTTTTTTTTGAGACAGGGTTTCTCTGTGCAGCCCTGGCTGTCCTGGATCTCGCTCTGTAGACCAGGCTGTCCTGGAACTCACTCTGTAGCCCTGGCTGTCCTGGAACTCACAGAGATCCTCCTGCCTCTGCCTCCCGAGTGCTGGGATTAAAGGCGTGCGCCACCACCGCCCGGCTCTTACTTCCAGGCCGGCCTCAAACCTGCCGCCACCCTCCTACCACAAGCTTGCACATGTTGGGAGCTTAGGTGTGTGCCGTGTGCCGCCGTCATGCCCAGCTCAGCGACAGTCAACCACAAGAAGGGCTGACGCTCAGTGAATAGAGCGCTTGCCCTGCACAGAGCTCTGGCACGCACACTGTGCCTGTCATCCTGAACTGGAAAAGTAGAGGCAGAAAGATGGGGGTTCAAGGCCATCCTCAGGCACACAGTGAGTTCATGGCTAGCCTGGGCTACCTGAGGCCCTCTCTTAAATGAAAAAACTTCGGTTGATTATGTGTGTGCATGCTGGACCACGATTTCACCGCCTAGCCACGCCCCATCCCAAGATTGCTGCATGCCCACAGTGGTCTTGCCTCTGACTGGGAAGTCACGGCCACTTCCTCCTCTGAACTAGCTTGAAACACCCACGCCTCGTCCCCCACGTCCTCCTGGCCAGAGAGACCCTTACCTTGTGCCCATTCAGGAGCGTGTTCATGAGCCCAGAGCCGGAGTCCTCTGATGGAGAGACGGGGGCGGGTCAGCCAGGGCTGCGCGGAGTCTCCCTCCCATCCTCCCAGGCCAGGGCCAACACTGGTGACTCCGTCCTGACACCAGGTAAACTTCTGTGCTTGGCACCCCATGGAAGGCCAGGGCCCACGCACCTTTTTTAATTTTGTTTTCTTGGATCTTCTCTGTGCAGACCTTGTAGGCCTCCGACTGCTGGTACGCCCACAGCTCCTTCAAGTATTGCTGTTTCTCCTTTTCCGCCTCGTCCAGGTACCGCTGGGAGGGGGGAGGACAGCACCCACAGACTAGGGCCAGCCCCAAGGAAGGCGGGTGGCCAGGGCCAGGACCCTGCCTCCCCTGTACTAAACATCCGGAGCCCCCCCACCTTCCCTCAGACCCTTAGAGAACATGCCTTCGCCAGACCTGACCAATGTCTGGCATGTTCTCCTTCACCCTTTCTGCCCCCCGGAACGTCCATGCTGGCTGGTGTGTGGCCTGTGTTCCGCATTTGTGCGATTTGTGCGGGTGTGTGTTTGTGCGCACGCGCACGCAGGCCCTTGTCCATCACTCTCCCCCTGGTTCTCCGAGGCAAGGTCTCTCTCTGGACCCGAGGCTCGCCCGTGGTGCTTGCCTGGCTGCTGGCCCAGAGCCCCGGGGACCCTCTTGTCTGCCTCCCCCACCTCCTCGGGCCCCACCTGCTTCTCTGCCGGCTGCAGCTTGCTCCACTCGGCGCCCAGCATCTTGGTGATCTCCGGAAAGGGCAGGTCCGGGTGGCGGGTGCGAATCTGCTCCCGACGCTCGTTGAGGAAGCGCACGTAGCCGGTGACGGGGGCCTTGGGCCCATTGGGGAGAACCTTCTTTCGCTTCTTGCCTTTCGGCCAGCCTCTCTTCTTCACGGGCTGCAGGAGGGACTGTGTCCTTGGAGGGGCCCGGGGCCATGTGGGCCTCGTGGGTGGAGTCTAGCTCAGGGACAGGGCTGCAGGTCAAGGGTCAGAACTCTGGAGAGTCCAAAGAGGGGGTCCCGGGGCAAGACTGAGCCTGCGGGGTGGCGCTGGAGCCCCGACAGGCTAGGGCGGGGCCTCTCGCCAGGCAGTGGGAGGGTTCTCTACGGTGTGGACCTGGCAGGGGTGTGACGCCGGGCCGGGGCGGGGCTCTCAGGGGGTGACTCACCTCCTCCTCCTGGGACCCCTTCTCTCCGGCGCGGGCGCCCTCGCCGCGCTCCTGTTTGACGGCCACTACGAAGGCCCCGTGCTGGCCCGGAGTCTTGCTTCCCGCAGGCCTTGGGGACATGGGACACCAGGGTCACGCCCCACGCCAGAAGCATCCCCTCATACCCACGCGTCCGCCTCTGGGGGCTGGAGACCACGGAAGTGTGTGGAGGCGCACTTGAGCCCGGGAAAAGGGAGCAGTGGGGACCCAGCGTTTGGGGGTCACCGTAGGCCACTGTGGGAACAGCCCAAGGATTTCAAGCTGGGGACGGGGTGGGTGTGGGGCCGCCCGGAAGCCTGGGAGCAGGATGAGGTGGTGAGGGAGGCCACAGGGGGCCCTAGCAATCCTGGGGCGAGTACAGACCCTAGAGCCAGAAACCTCCGGACAGTGGCAGGGGTCCCCGGAGTGGGGATAAGGCAGCTCAGGGGCAGGGACAGCACCAGACCACGGTCCCCGCAACAGGGGCACCCAGGGGAACGACAGGGCACACTCAGGTACGGGAGGGTGGGGGCAGGCGTGTCCAGGAGCACTCGGGGTGGACACAGGCCATGTCTGGAGTGCCCTGAGTTGGGGACAGGGCATGTCCAGTTCCAGTCCCCGGGGGTGGGGACGGGTATGTCCAGGGTCTGGGGGGTGCAGACGGGGCGTGTCTAGGGGGTAGCCGGGGTGAGGACTTGGCATGTGTAGGGGTTCCCGAGGATGGGGACGGAGCATGTCCAGGGGTACCCAGGGAGGGGACAGGCTGGGGAGAGGCGCACTCACGCGGTGGCCCCGCCTGGCTGCCGGGGGCCGTGGGACATGGCCTCTCTGGGCGGGACCTGGAACGGAGGGCGGCAGAGGTCAGGGGGGTCCCGCCCGCCACCCCGATGGGAACCCCAGGACGGTGCCCAGGGCGCCCGGGGGAGGAGGAGGCGGATCCTGGGGCGGGGAGGTCCTCGGGCGGGCGGCCCCGCGATCCTTTGTTGCGAGATCGAGTCCCGGAGGCCGCGCCCCGCGCCCCGCAGCCCCCGCCCCGCGCAGGCCCCGACTTCCCGGCTCTTTTCACCTCCGAAAAAACTTTCCCGGGACCTGGGATGCGGCGACGCTCCAACCAAGCGCCCGCGGCGGCCCCGCCCATATGCTAATGAGGCCAAGCACAGCGCTCCAGTTGGCCAAGAAGTCCACGAGGGGCGGGGTCATGCAGATTAGGCTCGGCGCGCCCGGCGGTGATTGGCTGAGAAGCTGCGGAGCCGCGTGGGAGGCGCGTCGGGCAGGTTGCGGGCGGGTGCGTCAAGTTCGGCTGCGCTTGGACGCGCTCGGGACCAATCGGAGGCGATTGGCTGCTCGCTAGGGGGCGGAGCTCCTTAAAGGGCAAGTCGTCCCCAAGCTGACGCGGGACCCGGAGTGTGGATGAGCGCGGGGTCCTCGGAAGAGAGACGTTCTCAGTAGCTTTCCGAGGAAGGAGTTAAATTCCAAAGAGGCGACCCCCTGCAGTAGGGCAAGGGGTACTCACTCTTTTTTTTCCCCGAGACAGGGTTTCTCTGCGTTGTTTTGGTGGCTGTCCTGGATCTCGCTCTGTAGCCCAGGCTGGCCTCGAACTCAGAGATCTGCCTGGCTCTGACCCCGAGTGCTGGGATTGAGGGCGAGCGCCACCGCCGCCCGGCTGGTGTACTTACTCTTACCACACTGGAAAAAAAAAGGGCTGATGAGATGGCACCGCACTTGGAGGAGATTGCCACCTAGTGGACAACCTGAGTTCTGAACCCACAAGGTGGAAAGTGGAACCGGGGAAAAATAAATAAATGAATGAATGAATAACTAGATAAATAAAGTGAGCTGGAGAGATGGCTCAGAGGTTAAAAGCCCTGGCTGCTCTTCCAGAGGACCTGAGTTCGATTCCCAGCACCCATATGGCCGCTCACAACCGTCTGTGACTCCAGGTTCAGGGTTCCCATCCCCTCACACACATACGTGTAGGCAAAACACCAATGCACATGGCGGGGGGCGGGGGGCGGGAGGAGAGAGAGAACCCATTCCCGCAAGCTGTCCTCTGAGCTCCACCGTGTGCGGTGACATGCGCAGCGCCCCCTACACAACAAATAAACACGTGAGCGTATGCTTTATACACGGAGGGCTGGGAGGTGGTCCTTGGGGTCGCTGATTTTCCCGCCCACGGAGCCTTGATTTTGCCCTCTGGACAAGGGGTCCATGGAACCTAGCAGGCTAACAGGCTGGACACCTGGACCTGGGATGGAGGCTGGGCGGCGAGCATTCCCATACAACGGCATTCTGAAGGACAGCTGTGGCTGGTGAGATGACTCAGCTGGCCAAGGGGCTTGAGGAGGACCCCAAGAACTTGTATTTGATCTCCATTATTTGAATACAAAATACCTCAGTTGCCAAAGGTGATTGTCACGCTGGTCTCTCATAACTTCCACAGTCAAAGAAAAATTAAAGAGGATTGGAGAGCTGGCGTGGTGGTTGAGATGCCTGTTTCTCTTGCAGAGGACGTGGGTTCGATTCCCAGCACCCGCTTGTCTGCTAAAAAACCATCTGCAGCCGGGCGGTGGTGGCGCCCGCCTTTAATCCCAGCACCTGGGAAGCAGAGGCAGGAGGATCTCTGTGAGTTTGAGGCCAGCCTGGTCTACAGAGTGAGTTCCAGGAAAGGCGCAAAGCTACACAGAGAAACCCTGTCTCAAAAAACATAAATAAATAAATAAATAAATAAATAAATAAATAAATAAATAAATAAATAAATAAATAAATAAAACCATCTGTAATTCCAGTCCCAGGGTATCTCTCTTTTGACCTTCCTGGGCATGAGCAAGCATATACATACAGGAAAAATACTCATAAAGTAATAAGTCAATCTTTTTTTTAAAAGACAGGAAGGCCTGAAGATAAGGCTCAGTGGTTTCAAAGCAAAAAATACATACTGCTTCCAGTTTGGTACCTGGTAGTCACACTAAGGGCTGAGGGCGTGGTCAGGGTGGAGCCCCGCCCAGAATCCTCCAGTGAGGGGTTGGGGGCGTGGTCAGGGTGGAGCCCCGCCCAGAATCCCCAGTGAGGGCTCTGGGGGCGTGGTCAGGGTCTTCCCACCATGCACTGGGGGTCTTGTGCTCCATCCTTCCACACTGCAGTGAACTGAAGCACAAGCCCTATGATGGTGTAACACCGGATTAATCACAATGTGGGTGACTCATTAGACACATGGTGGTTACGCCATGTCTCTGTGGCCCACACAGATTCGCACACTTGCATGGCCTGGTGGCAGGTGCTAGTGACTCACCCAAACTCACTGCCTGGAGGTTCTGAGCCCTCCAGGGAGGTGAAGCAGTCCAGGGGACTCCGTAAATTAGGGTGGGGTAGCTGGGCGGTGGTGGCGCACGCCTTTAATCCCCGGGCTCGGAGGCAGAGGCAGGCGGATCTCTGTGAGTTCAAGGCCAGCCTGGGCTACAGAGTGAGATCCAAGACAAGCAGCAGAACTACAAAGAGAAACCCTGTCTCAAAAAAAAAAAGGCAAAAAAAAATAGTTGTTTTTTTTTTTTTTTTTTTTATTCTGGGTCTCACTAAATTGGCTGGTGTAATAGGAATCCAGTAGAGTCATTGTATCTAAGGCAAGCATTAGATGTTACAGTTGTTTCTCCCTGTAGGGGTAACAGTTGCAGGTATTAGCGTTTGTTGAAAGCACCTTGACTTTGAGGAAGTCATAGCAGCGAACTGTGGTTGTTTTCCATGGATAATTTACAGGGTCGTTTTTCTGAGGCGGTTTTCCGTCTGTTGTGTGACTTTGGTCACAAGCCTGTCCCCCACACGTGGAGGTCCTGAATGATGGTGTACTGCGGCAAACAGTGCCCAATCCGGACTGAGTTCCCTCGGGGAACGCACAGAATAGATGAAAGGTGCTTTGGTAGGAGGAACTCACTGTACCCCAAACACAGCCTTTGTGGACACTCAGTAAGTACGCTTCTGAGCACAGTTCCAGGTTCAGTCCACACAAACTCTTCCTCCGTGCTGCCAGAGAGCCGAAAATTACACTCTGGAGCGACCCTCTTGCTTTGACCAGCCCATGTCATGCAGAACACCCAACAGACCAGGCTGCCATTAAACTTGCAATCCTCCTGCCTCACCCTCCCTTTAAACCTTTAATGTGAGGTCTCGGGACAGAGCTCAGAGGTGGAGCATTCGCCTTGCAAACAATAGGCCCCGGGTTCCTTCCCTACCTGTTTAGCAACCCACACAAAATAATGGCTTCTCAAAGCTTGGAACAGTGCTACACCAATCCCAGCACTCGGGAGGCAGAGGCAGGCGGATCTCTGTGAGTTCGAGGCCAGCCTGGTCTACAGAGTGAGATCCAGGACAGCCAGGGCTACACAGAGAAACCCAGTCTCGAAAAAACAATATGAAATAAATAAATGAATGCAGTTAAAATTTAAAGACACATGTTGCCAGACCAAGCCCCAGCACTCTGTCCCGAGAAACTGCCCTCTTCCCTATGGAACAGTGAGGGAAACTGAGGCCTGTTGACTTGCCCTGGCCCCTGACCTTCCTCTCCAGCCACCCTCAGGTCTCAGAACATTATCACAGACTTGGAAATCATCTCCCCCCTGCCTGTCAGCAGATCTGGTCCCCACTACATCAAAGTTGGCCCCCACACCCTGAGGCTGGACTCCAGCCACCAGGACATCCGATGCCCCGTGGATGGATGCGAGCGTGGGCTTGGCGTCCAAGGCTGCCGGACGCTTGAGGACATCAAAGGCTGTCAGGGTCTGCTTGGACTCCCAGCCCACGTGTCCTGCCCCGGAGGGTCCAGGGGATGAATCCTTCCTGCTAGCCTTCCTCTTAACTGGTCTCTTTTGACCTTTGCCCGATTCCAAAGCCTCTCCAGGGGCACAAATCCCTTCCATTCACGAGTTTGGATGGAATCATCTCCTCCCTCTGTTGGGCTTTTTATGTGGCATTGTCTCTCACGGCAGGAGATCCCGCATCCTGGGGTGGGGGTCCAGCTTTGATCCTGGACCCAGAAGGCCCTGCTCTCAAACCTGCCGTGGCTCCCCAATGCCCCCACTGACCCTCAGTTTTCTGCCCCTGGACCACGGTTTCCTGATGACTTCTCCAACCGGGGAGGCACAGGGCAGGGGGTGGGGTAGAGAGGCAGGGCACGGGAAATCAAGAGGGCCAGAAACCCAGGAACAGCCCATTGCTGCTGGGTCAGCTCCAGAGGCTGCCGGAAGCTGAGCACATTTGACGTGGGGTCAGGAGTTCAAGGTCTGTCTTGGTTATGAGAGAGTTCCAGGCCAGCCTGGGGTCCGTGAGACTCTGTCTGTAAAATAAAATAAGCCGAGGTTAGGGCCGTAGCTCAGTAGATGCAGAGTTGTCCCAGCTTGTATGAAGCCTTGGGCCTTCGTCCCAGCACACGGGGGTCCAGGCAGGAGGATCGGGAATTCCTGGGCTACAGGGGGAGTCTGAGGCCAACCTGGGGTACGGGAGACCTTGTCAGCAAATCGAGGCCTCTGGGGTGGCTGGGGACTTGGTTAATGAAAGGACGGGAACAGAAATCACTCTGGGCCTGACCAACAGCGGTTAAACAGCCACTCAGAGCTGTTAGTCCAGGCTGTCTCTGCCGGGTTCCGCCCTCCCGCCAGGGGCCATCGGTGAAGTTTGGGTCAAACCCTGAGAATTACATGCCAGCCTGAGGTGACATTCTCTGGGAGAGGCTGGCAGGAAGCCTACCCTGTGGAGGCTTCCATCCATCTCTATCTCTCCTTATCTCTCCCTATCTCTTAATCCCCTCAGGCCAAGGACTGTGAGCTCCTGTTATCTGCGGCCCAGCCCAGACCAGGTCATCTCCCCTGGGACATCCTCTCTGCCCCGCGTTCTGTGGCCCGGAACCAGATTCTCCTGCCTCCAACTGGCTACAGCTGGGATGGAAGCCTACATATTTACTTATTTGAGACAGGGTTTCTCTGTGCAGCCCTGGCTGTCCTGGAACTCACTCTGTAGCCCAGGCTGGCCTCCAACTCAAGAGATCCTCCTGCCTCTGCCTCACAAGTGCTGGGGTCAAAGAAGTGGCCTTGGTCACTTCTGACATATATTGTTGGGTGCGCAGAGGCTTGTAGGCAGAGGAGGGAGCAGTCTCATTTGGGGGTTCAGAACCAGGCTGAGATCTAAGTGACCCCCGAGGAAGGCTCTGTGTGGTCATGGAGACACATCACCCCAGCATCAGGAGCTGAGGTCCAGGCCAGACCAGGCTATGGCGTGAGACCCTTCATTTAAAAAATAAATAAGGTGCTCTGGCTGTAGTTCAGTGGGTGGGACACGAAGCCCGGGTTCGAGCCTGAGCTCCACACAAAGCAGAGGAGATGGCATCCAGCACTCAGAGGTCAAGGTCGTCCTCAGTTAGCTGAGTTTGAGGCCAGCCTGGGGGAAGGAAAAAGAAAAAGGGAATGAAGTGTCCTGAGGAGGAGGTGGTCCCGTGGTCTGGGCTAGTGTGTGTGGGTGTGCAGCACCTGCGTCCCTGAGTCACCACGGAGGCCTCGCTGGCTTCCCCATTCTTGAGCGTGCTTCTCAGAACCAGCCAGTGAGGAGGCGGGAAACCCGGGCGGCTGCCACGTGGGGCGCCTGGCCAGCAACCCGCTTTAGAGGGAGCCAGTGTTAGGATGTTCCGCCCTGCTATTACCTGTAATTAATAATTAATTGGTACTAATATGTCTCCCGAGCGCCTGTGTTTCCCCGGGAGTTTATGGGATCTCCCAGCTGTGCTCTCTTTCTGCAGGGAGCCCCGGGCTGCAGCGGCAAGCTGGCTGGGGCCCAGGGTGTGGGTGGGGGGCCGGCAACAGGTCTCAGGGCTGTTCCCTAAGCCAGGCCTGAAAGCCCATCAGGAGGCTGAGGTTGGAGAGTTCAAGGCCAGCCTATGTTGTAGAGGGACTTCAGGGCTAGCCTGGGCAAGTAGTGGGACCCTATCTCAAAACAGAAATAATAAAGGCCTGGTGTGTGGGGTGCAGCCCCCACGACCAGGAGGGGAGGCAGGAGGATCAGGAGTTCAGGGCCATCCTCAGCTGCACAGTGAGTTTGAGGCTAGCCAGGGCTACATGGAACCCTGCGTTAGAAAAAGACACAAATTTTTTTTTTTAAAGTTAGAGAAATAAAAACACGAAGAAAATAAGAGAAAAGAAAAACAAACTGCGATGATGAAAGCCGGACGGTAGCGGGCGGCGTTAGGGCCGCGGGAGTGCGGGGCGCTGAGGCCACGCCCCCGCTTGCCGATTGGGCGCCCGCCGAGGCGCGCGGCTCTGATTGGCGAGCGTGGCCGTCGGTCGGCG